CAGTCCTCCCCCTAGGGCGGCAGCACAAGTTGAAAATTTCATCGCCTCCAAACTTCTCTTATACTTACTTCATGTAATATTGGGGAGTTGTTTTAGTCGCGCAAAAGGGAAAGTGCAGTGGTTATGTCTCAGCGCAAAAGTAGCGGTGGGGTGAGTGAAAAAACTTTCGAAAGCAAGACGAAGTATAGATAAGTCGTTGCCTGATAAATTGAGGATTAATAAATAGAAAATCGATTAGATTAGATGCAAGGATTAGAGTAGACAGGGATGTGAGGAGGGAGGAGGGAGCATGAGTGAGTGGAGGTGAGGGAAGGAGGGGAGGGAGGACTGGAGTAGGGCGAGGAGGAGGGAGGAGGAGGGGAGGGAGGAGGGAGTGAGAGAGATAGAGGAAGAGGAGAAGAGAGAGACGAGAAGAGAGGAGGGAGAGAGAGGACGAGAGAGAAAGAGAGAGAGAGAGGAAGGGAGAGGGAGAGAGAGGAGAGGGAAGAGAGGGGAGAAAGGGGGAGAGAGAGAGAGAGAGAGAGAGAGAGAGAGAGAGAGAGAGAGAGAGAGAGAGGAGAGAGAGAGAGAGAGAGAGAGAGAGAGAGAGAGAGAGAGAGAGAGAGAGAAAGAGAGAGAGAGAGAGAGAGAAGATCATAGGCGCATGAAATTGCATGTTATCAAGGAAGTGTGAAAGAACATGTAATCTTAGTTGTCCTGATTATTTTCAGTTTCATGGTTGAATTCTCATGTCCTGGTAAACGAATCTTGTCACAGATAGAGATTTTGCTAATCTTAAAGGTTCTTCAATCAATACAGGCCTCAGAGACATTCTTCTGTGTACCCTAAATTTGAACAAGATTCACTATACATTCCTAGGAAAATAGGTGCATTGTATTTTAGGATATCATATTCTCGTTTTTTTCTAATGCTGCAATAAAACATGGTACAACTGTTTCCAGTGATACCTGAACCATCAGCTGGGCACAGGAACTAAAGTGACTAACAAATCTACTACCATAGTTACAGCAAGTAAAGTTACTTATTATTAGCTCTATGCACTCTTAAAAGTCTGAAAATAAACAAGAGTATAACGTGCCAGGAAAATAAAAATGCATTTATTTTCTTCTTTCATTATTACATGGCTTACATTCCTTTAAAAAATAAAAACATATCCTTCTGACGTCATGGTTCCCTGCGACCTTTTAGCACATCACCTACAATAGTTTAGGTGTTTTGAGAACTACATCCAAACATTATTCAGCACATTATTTACTGGTCTAAAGAGAGAGAAAAAAAAGAACTGGAAAGAAAGAAAAAAACACCGATTTTTATGGAATGTCTACACATTTCGGCATACCAAAAATAATGACATATCTTTTTTTTTTTACCTTGCCAATTTTCACATGACAAGACTTTCACAAGGAAAGTCTCGAGGTTACACAGCAGAAAACCTGCTAGCTAGTTTACCATGCAATAAAGAAGGCCTACCTAGCTGAACCATGAAAGTAATTTCCAAAACAAAAAAGAAAGAAAAAGATTAGACCTAACGCTTTTGTTCTATTTCTGTACAACACTTAATTACAGATCTATAGGCAAATAAACCTTTTTCAACAGTATTTGATTCTATATTAACGACATATCAACACTTACATTACAAAGTTCCTTTGTGTCATGTATATCCCGTTCTTATAAATACTTTGTTATTTTGCCAAAATCCTGGCTTTTTATCATAGTTACAAAGATGTGCTTTTTTTTTCATTTTCTTTTTCGTTTACAGTTATCCCATTCCATTAACATCTAAAGAAATATATGATACACAAAACTGAAGTTATAAAGATACTAAAATATACAAACTTTTCCCCGAAAAACATAAAATTTCTAAAAGAATCAAACATCAAAACAGAAATGGAAAATGGAAACTATCACTCAACTTACCTAAAAAAAAGGGAGTTAATTTTCCACTTGAAATTTTAGTATTCTATTTTGTATTCTGTGCAATAAGTTAACAAATTTTATAAGTACATTTTGCTTATATCAGGATGGAACATAACTGATGCAAACCAAGCACAAGCTTAACCTAATATAACAATTATGTACATCTTACCAAATATTTCTGGATCAAAAAGTGCTAACAGATTATTTAATGGACACTGATAACCTTTGGTATGTTAAAATTGCATTATGTCTTTTGTTTCTAATGTTGTCTTTTCCCTTGATACAGGATAAATTTCCTGTTTTTTTTTCATTCAGGCACTTTTTTCCGCTATTACAGAATGAAAAATCCCTATGGTGATAATCACAGGTCATCAGTATTTTAACATATTCTCTTTCAGCATATTTCATTTTCCTTCATAAAATATGTTCAACATTCAAAGGCTCTTGAACCTACACATTTACAATTTCTGATGTATATCAATCCCTTACTACAGACAGATGTATCAATCAGAATTTTTCAAGGACTCAACAAAACAAAAAATAATTTTTTTTCAAAGCTGCAAAAGTTCCATCACAATGATTTGATACCAAATCAATTCATTTTTGCTCAGCCTTACACCTACAGGACTCCCTATATCATATTCTTTAACATATAACAAAACAGCAATTTCTATGCTAAAAATGACTGTTTGGGCAATGAGAAGAAAAAATTAACTAAATGTAAAAAAGTACAACATGAATTAGAAAAACTGCCAATGCCCAAACCTTTCTTGTAACCCTCCATTATAGTGAATAGGTGACTACTCACTCATAACACTTTAAAAACAGCTTCTCTAATATTTCAACTAACCTCTTTTGAGTATTAACAAACTACTGTCATGCCTCTGCCTTCCATATCCATCACTTGACTAAAATTCCTCTGAAATGTAAGTCAAATCCTAAATGATTGTGAGGACACCACTCACCATTACAAGTGTAAAGGTGACCCTAACAGACTTGCACAGGGTATTTATAATGTATGCTGGACAAATGGTGGATCATCACAATAGAGCATTTATATGCCAATTGCTTACCAATTACTAAATTTGGGAAGGTGAATTTGTATATACAAACATTTCTTGCATTTGCACAGGATTTATCACAAAACGAAACAGACAAAACAAAACAAAACAAATGGTACAAATCTGTCTTGTACTATCCTTCAGGTATGGTGGATGACGAGTTGTGACTCAGTATTTGGAGCTCATAACAAAATAATGTATCTAATGTTATATTACCAGCTGCAACGTTCAATCTCTGTGCTACTACCATTAAAATAAATTGCAAATCTCTGAAGAATTCTTACCAAGAGAAGAAACTAAATTTGAATTTCTTATAACTAAATTCTAGCTTTTCGCTATTGCCAAAACACCAATTATCTCGAAACATGTGTGTCCACGCAAATGTAAAAAGTACAAATATATAGATATTAGTTGAGAAGAGGAAAATTTCATTTAGATGAAAATAGTTTTATCACATATTAAAAAATCACAGACTTAAAATATAAAGAGGAATTTCTAAATGACCTTGAAATATCACAGATGATATTCCAGTATCATTAACTGCAGATTATCACTTAAAAAGAAAGAAAAACATATTTACACATAAGTAAGTACACTGATGGCTGATAGTATGGGATGAAAAAGAGAGAAAAAGAAAAAGAAAATAACAAAGAGAGAGAAGATAAACAAGAAGAAACCAATAACATCAAAAAGAACAAAAAGAAAAAGTCATAAAATGATAAAAAGTAAGAGAAAAAGAAAAGAAAAGAAAAAGAGATCAGGTCTGAGTTCCCTAAGTAAAATATACACTTTGGATGGTATGTATGACTCTTATTAGTAGAACTATTGTTAGGAAAACTTAGGAAAACTATTAATAAGAAATTATAACATAACCTAAAAGTCTCCTTAATGAGTTCCCTGTGCTTACTGATATATTTCCTGAAAATACAAATAAGAGTTCTGATATCAAATATTGAGCTTAATGCAATTAGCAATTTCTGTCAATACTGTTACCTGTTAAATAATGCATTTTCTTATCTATTACCACACCCTGGACACTTTCTAGAAGTCATTTCGCTATCCTTAATTATGAACATTTTATTTAAATAAGAGTATTATTCTTTCATTCCATTAGTGTTACATTACTTTCAAACTCCTCTATGATATCTGCCAATGATTATCAGAGTCAGTGAGTCACACATAAAAATGTGTTACTGTCAAATGCAACAATCTATTGATCATGATTCTTATTGCATTTATCTTTAAATCTATAAACCATCATTGGTTACCAAAGTCATAGTAAATATTCCATCTCGGAAAGGGGCGGAGCATGTAAAAAGGAATCAGTTTCTGCAGCGGCAAGCATTGTCAGAAACTTCCTCTGCCTTCACACCGCCCCTTCCTTGAACCGAATGGTCTCAGGGGGGTCACGGCGCCTTGGCTTTCTTGAGTTCTTTCTGTCAATGTCTTCGTGCTTCACCATGAACTCGTATAGCTCTTTGTCAGCCACCAACTCACGCCCGTCAGTAGTGTCGTAAGTGTTGTAGTCATCAGAGAAACATAAGAACAAAGTGTCCACAGCCATCTGAAATGTGCAATGTAGAGGAATCAATATTCAATGCCAAAAAATTGCATACAGATAACAACATGGAAAATGTCAATCCCAAGAAGATACAAAGCTATTAAATCTGGCATCAAATCAAACAGATACATTAAAAGAGTAATAAATCACAAAATTTCAAATACTGCAGATATCCTCATATGACAATACAAAGACTGAAGAGGACAATCCATTTAATTTTTTTGAGGGGAATCCTAATGAATTCAATCTATAATAATATATCACTCTTTCCTCATTGTGACTTTATATGATGACTAAAAGTGACTTCCAAATGTAATCAAATATCTTGCCGTTACATTTATAAAAAAGATGGTTTCACAACTGATACGTTATTCATCAATAATTCATGCACAAGAGATAGAATCCAGAATCACACTTACCTCATATACAGAGAAAACACAGTGGGTGATGAAGAATGCAAAGACAGCTGTAACGATTAGCGGTACTGCATAAAGATGAAGAGTAGGGTTGGCATGTAGGACAGGGAGGGCAATACAGCATACCAGTGCTGTTACTGTGATTTTAGCCAAGAAAATTGTCAGGTCACCTATGCTGTTCACTGTAGCTACCTGGAGCATGTTTGTCAGGACTACACGCCATGCCTGTCAACAGTGAAAAAAAATGTATGTATCATATGGTGAAAATGATGATATATCATCTTAAGAAATAAGTGTTACACTATCACAGCCATTGCAATATTACCTAAAAACGGTATGATTCTCAAATTTCATGGTACAACTTGAATGATTTATAAGTATTCAACAACTTTGTTTTAGCCTATGAAGTAATATCCATCTAATCCTAGAATCTGAAAAAATCTGAAGTGAGGTCAAAACCTCTTGTGAAAATAAAGGGATATTGGTAATGCTTTTATGAAAGCTTATGGAGACCACAGCTCCCCTTTGCAAGTCATCTGGCCTTCATTTTCCCAGTCATGATATCGATGTTTGGAAACTGGTTGAGGAAAATCATCAAATTACAGTGGAAAGGATAACACAAATATGAAACATTTCAGTGGAATCAGTCATTAATATCTTAACCAAATGGTACCAGGTAATCATACTGTCTATTGTCGTTATCTTTTTGTGAATTTTTTTGTACACAACAGATGGCTCTACAAATACTCAGCCATCATGGACCCAATACATAAGCCTGTATGTCCTAAGCTGATTTTCCCTTCCCTCGAGTTTATGGGATTTTTTTTTCTAATGCTATTAATATCTATGTTGCTATCATTGTTATTGACTGTGATTACCATAATGGTAGTCACTATTACGGAAAATCAGCTTTATAGGACCATTAATTGACTTCTTGGTGAATAAGCATTTGTGGAACCATCTATGTGTAAAATAATCAATAAACAAACAAAAAAAAGGTCATAATATGTATTCTTGCAATCCCAGCATTGGGTTGATCAGAATTTATCAAGTTTTCTGCCTAAGAGGCCTTAAAAAACTGTTGTGCCCTTCACATTTTTGGTTCCCCTACCTCAACAGTGGGACATTCGCAATTTTTTTTTTTTTTCCTTCTAAATTAACAACCATTTTAATTCAATAATTTGATCCTGAGAGTAAACGGTAACTAAGATGGTGGTATTTGCAAGTTTCAAAAGGACCAGTCACATGCAAAGCTGAAAGATCTAATGCAAAAGTTAAGGCAAAGAGTAACCTGTGAAATATGTGAAATATGTAAGTTTGAAAGAAAGACTGTGGTGTTACAGGAAAGCCTTATAACCATATGCTGTTTCAAGTACCATGTCATTTATATCTTTTGTGTGAGTAAATTCCAAAGCAAATTGTGAATCAATTGCCAAGATATGGCTCTGTAACATGAAAAAAAAGCATCTTCAATTTATCAGAATTTTCTATTTCTCTTTTTGAAAGATAAATGTAAAGCAAGTTACTTAGTCCTTTTAATAGAAAAGACTTACTTGGGATATATGAATTTTTTATTGTTTATTCAGCATTAAAAGGGGGAAAGCCAAAAATCTTAACCCTATCTAAACTGTTAAATGAATTCCTTCTTGTGCAAATGTGTAACAATGTTTAAATACTAACAATCTTGGCAGACTCGCAGAATGCAGTGCCTCTTGTTGCTGTGACGGTGTAAGCATTGTGGTTCATGTACTTGAGGAAGTGTTCAAAGCACCAGAGGCAACAACAGCAGAGTCTTAGCCCACATCTTGCACAGCTGTGTTCTGGGTCCTTGCATCTGTTAGGAATACAGAATAATAAGTATTGCAAACAGTATAATTTCTACTGGAATTGCAGGAGATTTAATAACATAACCTGTTTCTAGTAATGATTACTAATGATAATATGATTAATGATTCTGAGTTTAGTACTGAAACTAGGAAATATTGAACATCAAAGCTAGACAATATTAATCAAATCCACTTAGCCAGAGAAGACCTTGGAAGGCTTAAACTCTGGGATACATATAAATATAGCAGCACACCCCATAAACAGGCAACTGGCATATTTACTTAATTACAAAAAATGTCAAGAATCCAAAAGTCTCTTACTTTTTGGTAATCCATTGTATCAGCAGGCGAGGTAGCTTGCAAAGGGTGATGAGAAGTGAGCCCTTTGCCACTGTACCGAGATGGTAGAGAAGAAGGGTTCGCCACGACCACCAAATGGGGTGTCGAACTTTGCCACGGCCTTCTTGTCTGTTGATCCAATTAATAACATGTGTATGGATATCTAATACAAGAATATCCTTTTTCAACATTCATCAGTATATAATCTTGATTTACTCGTATCTATATCTATATATAAACATCAATCAGTCTATCTATCTATACATGCAGAGCCCCTTTAAAGCTAATAAGCTCTAAAAACATACCGTGAGAAATAGTAAGTTGAAACTGCTGATGCAATAATCATCTGCTGACATGCCAAGATGAACTCAGCAACCCAAACTAGTCCGAGGACCCAAACCCACCACATGGAGCGCACCCATGAAGGGTCAACATATTCCAGGATACGCTGGGGTGTACCTGATAATGTAAAATCAAAAGCATATTATATACTTATACAGTGACATAAATAGCTTAAGGGAATGGAATCTAGAATAAACTTTCGTTAGCTTTTATAAAGAAGCACATTTAATTACAATGCATAGAATAAAGTTTCTTATTCACATATAAAGATAGATCAAAACATCTCAAAAAAGTTTAAAAAATGAGATTTTAACTCATATATGCACTAAAAAGACCTAGCAAAACAATTTTCATTATAATATATGGAATTAATAGCTAAAACCCGAGGTGAAAAACGCAAATAACAGCTGCACATAGCCCTATCATACCAAAAAGCACAACAGACTTATTAATCAGTACTCACGCATAAAAGTGAGGTTGGTGTCGTCACCCTCGCTTAGAATGGCTGAATTATTGTTGATCACTTCTTGCAAGGTTGTTTGTAGTCTTGAACTTCTTAAGTGCTCTGTTAATCAGAAAAAAACATGAGCTTTACATGTATAAAACATGTCAGTGTATTAAGAAAATAACTAACACATTTATTAATAACTACATGCATGATTTTTTTTTCATATTAGTATAAAAGAAAACTGATGAAAATGAATCATATATGAATATAATTTTTTTTCCAAAGAAAGCACAATATACATAATTTCTCACAGCTATGAGTCCTCTGCAAAATTTCCTAATCACAAATATATACGAGCATTCACAGTTCTCACATAATACAAAAAAATCTGAATATGAGGTAATTGCAGAATGAAAATGAATGATTTTGCAATATAAGAGATACATGTGTCAGGTTTTGATTATATCTTTGTCTGAAATACATGGTTTGTGGTAAAGGTAAAAAGTAATGTATTTCTGATGAAGATATAACTGAAACCAGGCCAATTGATCTATCAAATATCTTGCAGATAATCATTCTCATTCATACCTATTTTACATGTGCCTCAGTGAATACAGTTCACATGAGCCACTACAAAATTTCTGATCTAGCTCTACAAATTTTACTTTGCCTAATAAATGGATATATCTTAAGAAAGAGAACTAAGACTGAACCCAACCCTAACTATTGAAGACTTGTTTACTTCCTATCATTCACCTTCTGACTATAGTAGCAGTCCCAGACCTCATTATCCAGCTGTTCTCCTTGAGTGCCATTATTACTACCTCACTCCAAAATCTTTCTCAGATTACTCTCAAAAGTTCAGTTCAGGTAAAGATGAAGATGTAGTATCAAAATGTAGAACATAAATCATCCATTTTGATAATATTCGCTCATTCATACTTCCTCCTACAATCATTGACAAGTCTGATCCAAGCTGAAACACCTATTATTTTTTAACTTAATTTTTGCTTTTACCACAAACTACTACACTACTCCATTAATTAAAATCAGATTTTATCCCTGCTGCAGACTTTTCTAACCAGTAACAATCTCCTGCCTATTCCTTACCTATGCAACAAACATGGAATGGAACATAGAGAAAGAACATCCATTAACATTACAGTACTAAATAAATGGCATAAACACCTTACCATGTTGACACAAAGACAGAGATGGCAGGTAGATTTCAAAACTGTCATCCTGCTTTACAATAAATGCTCTGTAACATTGAAATATACCTTTTTTTCTCTTACATGCAAGCCTAGAAACATATTCAAAGACCACTACAACCATGCAGGAAAATAACTTACTGGCTGTGGCAAGGGACATCAGAACCCACACCCAGAAGAGGAAGAAGGCTAAAAGCACGAAGAACGTAATCACTGGCTGCAGGAGCAACCCTGGGTGGCGAGTCAGACAGGCCCCTGCGTGCTTGAATAGTTCGGCCACCATTGTTATGTGTGGTCGTACATACAGCACCAGAGCCAGCAAGGCCACCTAAAAAGTATTAAGGGTAATTTAACTAATCATGAATTGGATAATGGATGTTAATTCTTACATCTGAGTAATTACATCATTTAAAATCAGTACATATACATAAATGTAATATAAACCAATGGTCCTACTTTAGCTATTTATCATCCTTAAACTTTGATGTACAAACATCAGCTATGACCCCCCAAAAAATTAGAAAAAAAAGAGGAAATGTACATCTCAAAGGTAGTTACTTACAGTCATAATCGTTGCAATGATGGCATAGATCAAGAGAGCTCTCTCATTGCGTACTGTCTCTTCCAGTATCTGATCTAGTGGAGCATTATCCAGCTGCAGATGAACACTGATATAGCTCCACCACAACAAAACCGTCAATGCTGCAACGTAGGAATAATGAAATTTCTAAAATCACAAGTCTGAATTATCTAGCAAAGAATGTTTGCAAGAATACAATTGAAAACTAACACATAATTGTAAATAATAGTTGAAAATCATACTATGAATGCAATTTCAGTCTATAATTTACTCACCTGTAGAAACAATCATAACTGCAA